TAATCAGTTATAAGTTTCAAACTAGATTTTTGTTTCAGTGTATTAATTGAAGAATGTTTTTTTTTTATTTTTTTTTTTTATCAGTTGAAGCTCAGTGCAAGAGGCGTGTTTATTATGACTTTTCGAAAAGGAAGGCTGAGTATAATTTGAAGGAATTTTGATCGAAATTTAAATACTTTTAAAAAAGTAATATTGTGTAGAGTATCCTACGGGTGAAAAAATGTTTGCTCGCAGGTTACTACTGAAGGCAGAAAGTGAATTAACTTGGCTGTAATCATGTTGAACGTTGTTCAAGGGACCGTGGTATAAATTGTATTTACTTGACTGCATTCTTTTTCGTATTTACTGAAGCTTAATTTTTTTGCTGCTCGTGATAGTTCTGTCTGTAAGAGGTAATGCTGTAGTGAGTTTGAGGGAACGTATACCAACAATTCTTCTATGAACTGAGTCATAAAATGGGTTGTAAAAACTTTTGTTGAGGAAATATCGATTTCTTTTTTTTCTGTCTACAATTGCAGTATTTGCAAAACAACATTTGATTTTTTTTTCTTCCCAACTGCGCTCTTATTATAATTATCTTCTAGCAGTTCCATTTTAGGAAATTTGACTGAGCCCTTTTTTTAGATAAACCTATAACCGTTACTCAGAAAGCTTTGTTTGCTTTTTAAACTCGTTCGTTGTTTTTCTAACGGTTTTGTTCTTTCCATTTTACGAATAGTTTTTGCTAATAAAATTTCCTCTATCATTAGATTCTGCAGTGGCTGATTTACTATTGCGGTATTCTGTGCGACTGATATTAGACCTTTGACTTTTCAGTTTTTCAAAACATTATTTAAATCCATGTTTGAGACTGTCAGTCAACTGTTTTCATGCCGTTGCTATGACGTTTTTATCCATATAGTGGTTTTCTTTAGGAGCAGTGTTGAAACAGCTCTGTCCGAAAATGGCATTTTATCAGCGATTTATTAACCATTTTGTGCTTTTAACATTTATGATCAGCTTTTCAGTCGCTAGAACGCAATGTCAGTAGTCGGCTTCGATCTTGGCAACTTCACTTCTTATATTGCTATAGCGCGGCAAGGAGGGATTGAAGTGCTGACGAATGAGTACTCATTACATGCTACTCCGTAAGTTATGTTTTTCCTTTTTTGGGAGGGGTTGTTTTGCCGTTACAGTACATCGTCTATATGTGCGTTGCATCGAGTATTTTTCAATATGAATTTTTTTCTCATAGTAACGTGTATCTGTTCAGAAGCTGTGTAGCATTTGGTCCTCAAAGTAGGTGTATGGGTGTCGCTGCTCGGCAGCAGGCCAACACCAATGTCAAAAATACTATATTCAATGTAAAACAGTTGATTGGTAGGAAGTTCAGCGACCCTATTAGTAAGCATTTCTTGGAGTGGATTGCTTGCGACACTGTTCAGTCATCTGATGATAGTATTGGTATAATGGTAATGTTCGGAAATTTGTTAAGGTTCAGGTCTTTATTAACCCCAACTTCTTTCTTATTTTTACGTTTCTTCAGTTACAAAAGTTTTGACTACGCCCAGGAGTTATTTCTTTGTGATCAAAGTATAGTTGAGACTTAACTCAAATTTTAGCGTACAATTTATGGTTTTAGGTGAATTACCGTGGCGAAAAGCGGGTTTTTACGCCTGAGCAAATTACTGCAATGATGCTTGTCAAGTTGAAAGAGATTACGCAGGCTGGCGTAAAGGAATTGGCTAGAGTCACAGACTGCGTTGTATCGGTATGAAAGCTTAACACGGATTTGCTGTGTAATGTTTTAAGTGACTAAGTTTTGAAGTCATGGTTGCCGAACAGTTTTTGAAGCTGGTGACGATGTTAAGGTGGCACTCGAAATTTATCAAATCAATGACTTCTGACGATAGTCGTGGTTTAGGTTCCATTCTATTACACGGATGTGCAGCGTCAAGCTCTTTTATGCGCTATAAAACTTGCTGGTCTCAATAGCCTTCGCATTGTTAATGAGACAACAGCTATCGCATTGGCATACGGTACCAATTAAACTATTTCAATGAATTGTTTTCAGTTGAAGTACCCACTTTTAGAAACGTTTTCTGATTTTTTAACCTCTGTTACCTACTCAGGTTAGTTGCTGTAATTGGGATCGAAGGATTCAATCTTTCAGTTTTTCTTGCAGACAGTTAACAGTATTTGAAATGTAGACGCATATTTTGATAGCTCGTTACTGATTCTACAAAAAAATTTTTTAAGTAAGCTGTAGAAGTAGTGCGAATTTTTTACATGAGAACAGGTTCAAAGAAGTGCTTTGTTTTTCGGGTCATTTTCTTTGCAGTTTATTGTAGAAAATTTGGCTCTTACCAATTCTGCCACAGTTTTACTTGGTCTTCGGTTTTTAATTACTTTCTTTAACTGACTGATAAATTCTGTTTGAAGAGATTTGAGTTTTTTAAGGAATTTATAAGCATGATTTGCCGGAATCAAGCTCGCCGCCAAAACATGTGGTTTTTGTTGATGTTGGTCATTCTGCGTGCCAAGCTGCTTTGGTTGCGCTTCATCGTGACAAACTTGTTGTAAGTTTCATTTTCAACCTTACTTCTTGTGCTCGTAACTGAATCTTCCTTGCTTACTTTAACTTTTTATCTTTTCATATTCAGAAAAACTGTTAAATCTTTCAGGTTTTAAACCAAGTTTATGATTTCGGCTGCAGTGGGATGCTTTTTGATGCAGCGATTCGGGAGCACTTCAGAAAGATTTTTATAGATGAAAAGAAAGTGAGGATTTTATTTATTTGACGTTTTTTTTGGCCGAAGATCACTTAAGTCATTGATTGTTCCTTGGGTCTGATGCTTTACCCTTGTATTTAGACTCATTCAAGACTATCGTGGCTGGTTCTTCTAGTAATTCAGAGGTGTCTGTAAGCATTTTTGTAATATGCTAGAATTCACAGTTTTTTAAGGTATTATCGTTTAGTATTTTTATGGTTTTGAAAACTTGTAGATTCTTTATTTTTTTGGAGATTAGGTGACAGAGGAGCAGCAAAAGCTTAATTTCTTACGTACTAACTGTTATTGCGCGTCATTTTTCTCTTATGAAAGTATATACTTTCATTTCTGTTGAAGGAGTCTTTTTTTATTTTAAAAATTGCATGTGTGATTTATGCCTCTAGGTAGCTTTGTAGACTTCTTCAACTAAGGGAATTTGTTGCTGCTTACGCAGGTTGTTGAGTGGCTGAGGTTTGGCAGTTACGAATGATGGTTACTCTTCAGTGCTGTTGCATCAGAAATACCTAACTGCTTTTAGTTTGGGCACTGATATACTTGAAAAATTTATGGTTTTATGGTTTCAGTAAAGCTCCCCACTGAGTTTCCCCTTCCTACTCTTTGTCTGCTTTAAATATTTATTGGCAGCTGCTGTTTCACTTGTGTGTGCGAAAAATTATGACATTCTTCTGCAGTGCGAACCTACAAGAGGATTTCTTTTTTGTATTTTACTACTGCAGTTTTTTCTAGTGCTGCAGAGTGAAACGTTGTTATCTCTGCTTTATAGTTTCATATGAACTCAAGGGTTCAGGTCAGTGGTGGAGCCGCTCAGAACTTAAACGACCACTTTCCTGAAAGTTCGTGCACATAGTCCATCTGTCTGTTGCCGTTCGTATACATATTCTTATGCTGTTTTCCTGCGCGTTCGTTTGGTTTGTTCATTCAGTTGCGTAATACAGATTGATGAGGACCGTTTCTTCTAATACACCTTGATAAGAAGTATCGGTTCGCTAGCAACAGTTAAAAAATAAGAAAAAAAATAATGAGGAACAATCTGCAAAAGCTTTTCTAGTTTTCAACGCTAGTTTTACGCGGCTTGCTCTTGAATTAGAGTTCTGTTTCAAGCCTGTTTGAGAGCCTGAGAAGAACTAACCATGTGGTTTCTTGAAAGGTTGTTTTAAAATTCTATCACTCACTAAAGTAATGCAACTGAAAAGTGGGCATGAAGACACTAATATATGGCCGGGGTTAATTCAAAGCAAGCGTACGTAATGTATTGAGGGAAGTGGGATGCTTGTAATTGACTTTGGCGTAGTTTGGAGAAGAAACATTTTGAGTGAGTTGGGGACGGAGTGGGATAACAGCTTTTGTTTTAGGGGAGTAGAGGTGTCTGGGGCGTACATTTTAGCTGATGCTGTTTTGTAATTAACAGATCTTAATAAAAGAGTAGTTTTAAAAATAAAGTTTTATACTTGCATTTGTTACTGTCTTGATTGATGGCACTGTCTTTTAATTGAGGTAAGTTTATGATCTCAGCTTTTAGTCGAAGAACTCAGTGTTGCATTGTTTTTATGATGTTTTACTATAAAACTTTGTTAGGTTGATGCAAAATCTACTCCTCGCTCATGGCTGCGCCTTTTGGATGAATGCGAAAAGTTAAAAAAAATGATGTCGGCTAATAGCAATCCCTTACAACTTAATGTGGAATGTTTGATGGGTGATCTTGATGTTACTGGGACAATGCAACGGTATATCTTTTTTTTTGAATGTTTGCTTGCTCAGTGCATTATCTGTATTTTTAGGTCTGAGTTTGAGGTATTAATCGAGCCGCAGTTGGAGAGCTTGAGGAAAATGTTGATTAATTTACTAAGCTCTGTTGGACTGAAGGCTGAGGACGTTGATGAAGTTGAAATTGTTGGAGGTTCATCGCGAGTACCAGCCGTGAAGAAAGTTATTGCGGATGTTTTCAGGAAAGATCCAAAAACAACAATGAATCAGGATGAGGCTGTCGCTCGTGGTTTGCCCTTATTTTTGTATATGGATACCTTAAACTCCATAAATTGGCCTTACTTATTCCTAAAATTTATATATCGATGAATTAACCAGCGGATGTAAACAAATTTTTGTGGAGAATCAAAAGACATTTGTTTATGAAATTCATTTCTATATTGTTCAGGAGCTGCAATGATGTGTGCAATTATGTCTCCTGTGTTCCGAGTGAAAGAGTTTTCGGTTAAAGAAGCATATCCGTATCAGATAAAACTTTCTTGGGAAGAAAAGTAAATTTATGCCTGTGGATACTTTGGATACGTCTCATGATATTAATCTTAGTTTTTTTTCTACTTTATAAGAATAACTTATATCTCACCCAGTATAATAAATTCAGCTCAAGCAACATCTTTGAAGAAAGAGACGAGTTTCCGTTTTCTAAAATGATTAATTTGTATCGTGATAAGCCGTTCAAGTTGTTTGCGGAGTATGGTTCCCGTGAAATACCACACTCAGTTCGACAAATTGGTAATACTTATAAATCGAGAAATATGGTACCATTGGCTATGATAAAGTGATCATAAAAATAAACGTCAATTTTTTTTTTTATTTACGTGACAACGGTTTCAGGGACATGGCTAGTGAGAAATCCACCTAACTATGATTGGAACGGTAAAAAACAAATAAAAGTCAAAGTCAGGGTCACTCGAGACGGAGTTTTTTCAGTCTGCTCTGCTGCAGCCTACGACGAAGTTGAAGTAAAAGGAGGGGAGGTAATGGAACTTTACGTTCCTTTACATACAGATTTTCAGTATGAGCCATTTCTCTTTTTTTTTTCTTATTTTTCACTTGTAGACAGCTGCTGGTGAACCGATGGAAACTGACGCACCTAAAGAAAGTAATGTGGAATCACATATTCCTTCTTCTCCTGACGGCGCTGATACGAAAACTAGCACAACAAATGAGCCACCTGCGCCAGACGCTAAAACTGATTCTGGCGCTCCAGCAAAGTCAAAGACTAAAGTCATCACCGATCTTATAGTTGAAGAGAAGAAAGTGTTTTGGATTAATAACTTCGATCAGCTGCGAAAAATTGAAGTAATTCTGTCTCTTCTTTCAAGTTTTTTGGATTAAAGTTGAATTACTGTTTGAAACAGGATTGCTTTGGGATGAGACTAAATTTTTAGCTGTTGATGATGGTGAAGTACTTAGAGAATTATTTCAGAATGAAATGCAGGCGAGTGACCGAAGAGAAAAAGAGAAAGCAGATGCAAAGAATTCTTTGGAGGAATATATATATTACATGCGGGATAAGTTATCTGGCGACTTCTCCAACTTTATTGCTGAAAGTGTAAGCCTATCGTGTTAAATTTTATTTTTTCAAAGTAGTAGGGGAAGTTCGATTTAGAGTTTTTGTGATTTTTAGGATGCTGACAGTTTCCGACAGCAGTTAACGCAGTCAGAGGATTGGCTTTATAGTGATGGAGAAGATGCAGAAAAGCAGGCATACGAGGAAAAATTAGCAGTTTTGAAAAAGGTTGGAGACCCTGTTCAGGAGAGACACAGAGAATTTGAAAAAAGAGGCGCGGCTTTTGACAATTTTGATCGCCTTCTTCTGGTAGGTTTTACTAGAGCGTTGGTCTTGACTCATTTTTTGCCATTACCAGTCGTCTTCCCCCAGTTTCGACTGGTTCGTATACGTGAGTTGAGCTCTCATAGTTCCCTTCCCAGGCGATATCTTTTGCTTCCGCTTGTTATGTTGAATAGTTCTTGTGGACGTCTTACGTTATTTTAGAGGACTCGGAAGGCTTATGATGCTTACTGTAAGGGTGATCCACAGTACTCGCATTTGGACTCAAAAGACATGGAGAAAGTGCGTTACTTATTACTTGTTGATGCTGCAGTTTTAAGTATCGGTTGAACTCTCACTTGATTTGTCACGTGCTGAGCAGCTTTACTGGTATCTGATGTTGGTTAGATAGTTTTTTCCTTTTAGGTAATTAATGCTTACGAAGAGAAGAAGAAATGGTTAGATGAGCAGAGAGGTAAGCAAGAACGTCGTCCTTTGACTGAAGCACCGATTATTTTTGTACACCAGATCAAAGAAGAAGAGCAGGTATATCATCTTGTACAAACAGAGAATATTAATCAAGTTTTTGCATGTCAATAAAACTTTGTTCTTTTGTTTGAGTTTCCTGTTTTCGTGCTTTTCTTTTAGAAAAAGGTAGGGGAAAATTTAACGTGGTCAGGATTTTGAGAATTTAACAGGGAGAGCGTTTCTCTTAAGTAAAAAAAACTCCAGTTTTTTTTTAGCGTGCCACTATTTTGCAGAAATTTGATTCCATTGTGACTCCGATTCTGAATAAGCCAAAGCCAACTCCTCCTCCACCGAAGGAAGAGAAGAAAGATACGGGTGGGGAAAAGAAGAACGGAAAGGATGGCAAAGAAACGAATGCCGCCAACACTGCTGGCACAGAACAATCCCAACCTCAGCCCGCACCTGCAGATAATAACGCATCAATGGAAGTAGACTGAGTAATATAATGTGGCACGTGATAAGATTAAATTTTTTAATTATTAATTCTTCTAGCTTGACCAACGATACAGAGTTGTTACGTAGACGCTGACTAATGCGTTTACGATTGTTCTGTAGTTTAATGGATGTACCCCTCTTTCAGTTTTTCCTTCGTTATTTATAATTTTGTTGAGTTTTGAGATTTGGATGAGAGCGTGTTTGATAGTGAGTGGTATGAGGGAGTCTCATTTGTTAGTTTTGCTGTTTTTTCATTTCAGAAGTATTGCTTTTTTTAATCAATCGATTCAAGGTCTTATGCTTGTACCAAGTTCTGGTTGTGTCAATCTTCCCTGTGAATTTGTCTATTTTAATAATGCTCGAGTCCAGATAAAGTTTATGCAGTTTTATATCGTGCTGACAAGTATTAGTAGACCTACTCTCCTGAAGTTCTTATATTCACAAAGACATTTAGCGCGCTTACGTTATGAGTCGCTCTTGATACGTGATGCGCTTTTAGTTTACTCGTAGTTTTTGCATTTGTACGCAGTGTTCCTATGGGGATGCCGGTTGGTCGTAGGCAGACATTTTGTTCTGGTTGGCATCTGAGTGTTTGGGTATGGAGTTGGGGAGGTGCTTGGTTTCCTTAAGAAGGTGAGTTTGGATTTTGGGTAGGGAGCGTTTGGGTGTTGAAGGAGCTAAGGCTTTTACCGTCTTGGGCACGAGTTGTTTTATGGCAAGTTCATTGTTTTAAGTGTGAGCTGGGGGCAGTTGGGTGTAGAGCGGGGTATTTCTGACGGGGGACTGGTTAAATGGTCGAAATCCTGTTTCCTATTGTAGGACCGTCCACAATTCATTAAAAAGTAGT